AAAAGGAGCCAACAGGACATTCTTAGAACAAATGAATTGTGAGCAGAATCAAGAGGGTGCAGAATTTCAGGAAGGTAGGAATGGTTGACTACACCCAGTGTTGCTGGTAAACATGGGCTCCAGGAGAAAGTGCCAAGAGCCTCTGATTCACGATGAACGAATAACGCTCCACAATAACATTCACTACCCCTAAGTGTATTCAGACTCCGTAGTCATCTGGAGAGTAACCTCACTCCATTTAGAACACCAGTGCTCTGTTTTCATAGATGCCTCATCCTAAAGAATTCCCCCAGGAAGTGACCCGGGCGATCCCTGTGCCTGCAAAACCGAATCAGCTGCAATAGATACGCTGGGCGAATAAATGAGAAGCAGACCATGCTCACAGCAAAGAGAACAGGATTTAGTAGGGCAGAACGGAACCATTCCACAGGTTTCTAAGATTTTCTAACTCATGGCCTCAACAGGAAAACGAACACCAAGTGAGCTTTATTATTCCTGTTTTACTGATGCATAAGTTAAGGTACAGAGAGGTTAAGTGACTCTCCCAAGACCATGCAGTTAGTGGGTAACACAGTCAGGTTTCTCAGACTCAAGAATCTCATGGAAAAGTGCAAATTATCAAACACTTTGCTTTGCTGCCTCCCCCAAATCAAAAGCATAGTTTCCGAGAGTCAGATCACAAAATTCAACATGACCATTTATGTCTTCTGACCAAAACCAACCATTCTTTCTTCCCTGTAAAAGTACTGGACAAATAAAGACAGAAAATTTTCAAGGTGTACTATACACTGTGTCATGATTAACACAATCAAGTGAGCACATTCATCACCATTCATATTGTACATTAGATCCCCAGAACTGGTTTATCTTAAACTTTGTACCCTTTAACCAACATCTCTCCATGTCCCCCAACCCTCAGTCTTTAGCTGCTCTACTCCCTGCTTCTACGAGTTTTGCTTTTTAGATTAGATTTTAGATGTGTAAAATCATGTATTTGTCTTTCTGTGCCTGATTTATTTTACTTAACACAATATCTTCCAGATTCATCCATGTTGTCACAAATGGCAGGATTTCCTTATTTTTATGGCTGAATAATATTCCATTGTATATATGTGCAACAATTTCTTTACCTATTCATCCATCATTGGACACTTAAGGTATTTCTGTATCAAAGGCTTTTGTGAAAAATGCTACAAAGAACACAGGCGTGTGGCTCTCTCTTCAAGACACTGATTTCATTTCCTGTGGTTACATACTTAGCACTAGATTTCTTATCTATTGTGAACAAAGTGCAAATTATCAAACACTTTGCTTTGCTGCCTCCCCCAAATCAAAAGCATAGTTTCCGAGAGTCAGATCACAAAATTCAACATGACCATTTATGTCTTCTGACCAAAACCAACCATTCTTTCTTCCCTGTAAAAGTACTGGACAAATAAAGACAGAAAATTTTCAAGGTGTACTATACACTGTGTCATGATTAACACAATCAAGTGAGCACATTCATCACCATTCATATTGTACATTAGATCCCCAGAACTGGTTTATCTTAAACTTTGTACCCTTTAACCAACATCTCTCCATGTCCCCCAACCCTCAGTCTTTAGCTGCTCTACTCCCTGCTTCTACGAGTTTTGCTTTTTAGATTAGATTTTAGATGTGTAAAATCATGTATTTGTCTTTCTGTGCCTGATTTATTTTACTTAACACAATATCTTCCAGATTCATCCATGTTGTCACAAATGGCAGGATTTCCTTATTTTTATGGCTGAATAATATTCCATTGTATATATGTGCAACAATTTCTTTACCTATTCATCCATCATTGGACACTTAAAGTATTTCTGTATCAAGGCTTTTGTGAAAAATGCTACAAAGAACACAGGCGTGTGGCTCTCTCTTCAAGACACTGATTTCATTTCCTGTGGTTACATACTTAGCACTAGATTTCTTATCTATTGTGAACAATGCTAATGAACATGGGAGTCCAGCTATCTTTACAAAATGATTTGATTTCCTGTGGGTATACACCCAGGAAAGGAATTGCTAAGTAAGTCCTAAGTTAGTTCTAGTTTTAATATGCTTAGGAACCTCCATATTATTTTCCATAATGGTTGAACATTTGTTATCTTTGTCAACTGACTAGTATTTAAGAACTCTAAGGGATGCTGAAGCTAGATAGCCTTCCTCTCTCAGCACAGTAAATGGTCACAGTTAACAACTAAGTCTGTTCTAGAGACTTCTTCACTCTCATGAAAGGCCATGTTTGGTGAAAAAACACGAGGATTTTAAAATCCGACAGACTTGGATTCAAATTGTGGCTCTGCTCCCTACTGAACAGGTGCACATGTACTTCTTCATATTCCAAAATGGCTGTGGCTAAGTCCTAATTTGCAGGGTAGTTGTAAAGATTTGGTGGCATAACACATGAAAAAAACTGAACACATGCCTTACATATTCAAAAGAAAAATTTTCTTTCCCTCCAAGAACGTACTGATGAGCCTCTGACATTAGTATGATACAGTCGTTACTCAGTGATAACTTTAACAAACCAATAAAGGCTTTCACCCAAACAGCAGAGGAAGAAGAAAGAAAAGAAAGGAGAAAAGAAACACTAGAAAGAGGAGATTCTTCAAAAGTTCATATTTTACCTTCAAAAGTCATGAAAGTGTGTTTTGGCATAATGCAATAAAAATTAGAAACATAAAAATACCTTACACTTATCTCCCCAACTATGTTACTATGCATTCTCCTGAAGTTTTTAGTTATTTCCTTTAGGAAGGTTTTCTCTTATATATGGTAGCTTCTCTTCCACACTGCCACATTGCCTCTTATGCAGGGATATGAAGACTCCTGGTAGTAACATATAATCCTACAAAGTCTTATTAAGATTTCAGAGTGGGGCAGCTCTGTGGCACTACAGTAACGTGCCGCTCAAGAGAAGCTGGATACCACGATGACCATGGTTTGAATCCCCAGACTGGTACGCTTGAAATATGCTAGGTATGTGCACAAATGTCCAAGATCCCATGCTCCGGAGGACTAGAAGTGGATAGAAGAGTCACCGACACTGTGGAAGATGCTTTATTTCCCCCTCTCATACTCTCTCTCTCCCCCTCTCACACTCATTCTCACTCTCACAGGCATACAAATAAGCTCTCACATGAATAAAAGAAAAAAAGAGAAAGATTTCAAAGCAATTCTACATACTTTGGCCATTATTCTATCCTGTCTGCAATATCTGAACATTCTTGGGTCTACTCTACAATGCATCCCAGTTTACAGTGAAGGTCCCCAAATTTTTAATTCTAAATTTTCCATCTAAGAAAATTATTACATTTTATCACCTCTACATGAAGCCTCCTGGCCACCTGTAGGCTAAAGAGATACTAGCTGCAACCTTATTTTCTGGGACAAATCTCTGCTACAGCAAAAAGAGTAAATACAGCAAATCTGGAAAAACCTTCCAAATATATATATATAAGACACTGACCAAACACAATCCTAAGTAAACTGGAATTACAGACAAGAGATGTATTTTTTTTTAATCATTTGAAAACTTCTAAAGTAGCCAAAGAATTTAGTTCAGTCATATTAACAGACTGTGGATGCTTAGAGTTACATATTCAGTATGATAAAGAAAAAAATAAAATGAGTTTTTAAAAGCTATTTTCCTTAGAGCATTATTTTCTTCCAACAGTTTTTTCTTTTTAGGCAATGCCACATATTTCTTTTTATTATGCTTACACATTTGTAAGGATGGCATGGAAAGGCCTTTGGATTTTTTTTTTATTAATTAAACTTTTATATACATTCAATGACATTGTTCAGTCCTGTTGATCAAAATATCTTCAACAGATTACACCACACCTCCCCGTCCCATCAATGCTCTGCCTCTGTATCCCTCTTCCAAATGTCCTTCTGTAGGCCCCTCTCCTCCACATACACCACATCTGATATTCACACCCATCTTTTGTGTTTGTATATCTTTTAGTTAATCAGTTTTGGTCGTAGAGTGCAGATACTCGGTATATATTAAGTGGGGACATACAGTGTTTTTCCTTCATAGCCTGGCTTGCTTCACTCAGCAGTAAATCTTCCATATGCTTCCACTTTCAGTCGAAAGCCAGGGTTTTGTTGTTTTTTTATGGCGCATATACTCTATGGAATACTATTCAGCCATAAAAGCCTTTGGATGTTGTAAGTACCTTGAGCAACATGTAAGGACACTGATATCTTTTTTTCCCAGTCACATCAACTAACTTTCTTTCCTATCTTCTTTCCTTCCCTTTCTCCCTTCCCTCCCTTCTTTCTCTTATTTTTCTTTCTTCCTTCCCTTCTTTTTCTTCCTTCCTTCCTTTTGGACATTAATATCTTGTTTTCATTAATTGGGCATCAAAATCCCCTTACCAGGCAAGATGGTGGCATGGTGGTTAAGGCAGTTGGATTCCACATGGCTGACTACACAGTTCGAGTCCTAAACCCAGCAGCTTGACAATGGGCAGGTATGCCCAAAACCCCAAAGAGAGGGTAAGATGGGAGAGAAAGACGGGTGCAGTGGTCGTCATACCCCAAGTGCTTTCTCACTTTCCCTCTCTCTATCTCCAGTGAGCACACATGCCCTATAGCGAATTAGAAAAAAAAAAAATGTAAAAATCGCCTTGCCAAACATTTTTTGTGAAGACTTTTTCTTGAAAGGCAGGCGGTATGTTCCTGTTTATGACATCCTGACCACAGTACAGTGGGCAGGCAGGAAATAGCCTTTGATCTCAGAAGATATTTTCTGAAGCTAGCACATAGAAATGAATTATGTTTACATTAACCCAGGTGGAATAACTGATGAATAAAAGTTATGGTTCTTCAACTCAATAATATTTTCTTGGACATTACTATACACCAGTGAGTTACAAAAAGGCCAAGAAAGCTGAGTCTGGCCTCCTGGAACTGACAGTGAGGGGAAGATAAGGGTGCAGTTCCAACACAAAGGAAGGGGTTCTTACCCAGACTGGATGGGAGGAGTGTGTGAGGAGTCAGAAAAGGCCTCTTGGAGGCAGGAACAACACCTGAAGGATGAGGAGGCATCAATAAATACAATAGATAGGGGCTGAATGGTGACACAGCAGTAAAACCCAATGCTCTGCTAAGCCGACCCATGTGGGAAGGTTCTGGGTTCAGAGAGAACACCCTGAGTATACCGACCACACTGGGCAAGTATGTGCCCATGATCTGGGGCTGGCAGAGGCTGAGGGTGGTTTGTGGCATCAAGACTCCTACTGTTCTCTATCACTGTCTCTTTCACTTATGGAAGAAATAAAACAAACTTTAAAATAAATGAATGAATGACTAAATATGATAGATAAATAAAAGGGACAGAGTAGGCAGCAGAAAGACCAGTGGGAGGCATCAGACATGAAATCCAGATTTGCCTCTGCAACAACCAGGATATGTACTTGAACAAGCTATCTGACCTTTCTATGAATAGTTCTTATATTTTCTTATCTAGGATATGTGATGGTTATGTCATGTAACGTGACCTTAATTATTACTGTGCATCATGTATGTGTTTGCTTTTTTTTTGTTCCCGCCAAGCCTATTTATTTGCTTCTTCTAAGAGAAAGAGAGAGAGAAAGAGAGAGAGAGAAAGAGAAGGAGGGAGAGGGAGAGAGGGAGGGAGAGGGAGATAGGGCATCTCCAACATCCCAACAGGGTCTGAATGTCATGATCTCACTGGCCTGGATCACAGGCACACATGAGCACACCTACTATGCTCAGGGAGGTCCAGGGACCTGAACCCAAGACCCTTCCCATGTAGCTCCAGCCATGTCACCACTGCACCACCACCTGGTCCTACTCAGGAACTTTCTGAAACTACTGGCTCTCTCCTCCAGAGGTGTGGTTTCCATGAATGGGCACCAGGCTTCCGACGCTCTCCAGAGGATGCTAATCTGCAGCCAGGGCTGAGAACCACCAGATGAGATGATCTCTCAAGTCCCTGACAGAGGCCTGTGGTTCTCAACCCTCAGTGCATGATCACATCCTCTAGGGAGCTTTCTAAAACCCCGGTGTAGACTGCATTCCAGACAATAAACAAGAGTCTCCAGGGGTGGGCTTCAAGCACCAGTGATGTTAAGATTCCGAGGCTGATTCCACACTGCAGTGAAAGTAGACAACTGCTGTTCTGGCCTTCTGAAGACTTCAGTTCCTTACTCAGGCCAATGAAGGATGAGAAAAGGAAGGAAACAGATGCTCCTAAGTTTCTCCCTCCCTCATTCCTATGTCAAACTAAAAGGACGAAATGCCACAGGCCACTAATGGATATTGCATGGGACTAGACCAACAGCACGTCTATTTGGATATGTGTATCATTCATGTTGAGGCATGACAGGTGGGAAATGCCCATTACAAACTGTTCTCAGTTCTGAATTTAAAATTCAATGGAATACTTCTCCATAAACTGGCTCCATGGTGCGTACTCTGCAATACTTAGTTAGAATTTGATTTGCATGGTTGACTGTAATATGAACATTACATTCCCTATCCCCGAGGTTACTTAAATCCACTTATTAGGCAATGGTGAACTAAACAAACAGTAATTAGAAACACTCCAGACTACCTTTTAAATCTGTTGCTAAATTATATTTTCCTGCACCAAAGCTCATACACACAGCATGTCCACAAGCATCACAAAACCAAAGCCTCAAAAATATTTACATTAATAAGGGCATAAGCTACCTCTAGGCCTTCGCGCTGGATTCTACAGGGAACTGAGGGCTGTTTTAGAAGAGGACTGTTCATTACTGTTATTTCTCACATCTGGGTAAATAAAGCACTGCCCACATGTGGTTAGAAATCCCAGGTGAAAATGAACTCTCCAGGGGTCTGGAAACGAAGAACACCTCTGATAGATTGCCTCATTTCCTGAAATGAGTCAGAAATGAAAGTAATTCTTTAGAAAAGAACATCTGCACCATGGCACAGCTTATGAAATAATGCCAGATGATACCTGTGGTTAAGAAGCTGGGCTTGGGAAAGGAGGGAGGGCCTGGAAACAGGACTGGAGCCTCTGCACCACACTTAATCTCGCAGCTGTGCTGTGAGCTTGGAGGGTCTGTGGATCCAAGGAGGGGCTGACAGGGTGACCTGGTCTCTGCTGTAAATCTTGATTAGCAGGAAGGCTGCTCACATTCCATTAGAAAGCTGGCCCCTCGCCAAAGGCTAGAAGCAGCCAGAAAGGATTCGTGTGCCGTCATGGGCACGGAAACAGCAATTCCTACAAGAAAAACTGTTTTACTTAGCTAAAAATAGCCGGTGCTTGTTAATGATTCAGACAGACCTTTCTTCCTGAGGGAGGGCTACAGTGTGCGGATGACCTCACACCAAGGAGAAGCCTTTCCCTTCAGATTATGCAGGAAGGAGAGGACTGGCATATGGTCAGGGGCTACAGGGTCAGAAAGACTGAAACACCTTTCACAACAACTGTACTAAAGGCTAATACACAGGAAGATGAAAAATGAAGACTGTTTCACCAAAATAGAGGCCAGTTATTTTGTTGCTATTCTTTCCATCTTGGGTTTTTAAAATGAATCCAACTCCACTGTTTGTAATGGGGTAGGGGGTGGGCCCCTGGAAACAACCTAAATGCCCATTAATAGGTGACTGTTTAAGTTAAAATCTGGCGCACACACACAACAGAATACTATTTAGCCCTTTAAGAGAAGGCTGATCGGTATATGATACACTAATACATGAAAAAACGTATGTGGCCTCTGTATAGTAAACATTTGTGTGTTTTTAAAGAAGTTGCCCAGTACAAGAAAGGGTCAGGAGAGTTATTTTTCCTGTTCTACCCTTATATACAGCTCACATTATCCTCTCATTTTAATTATAGGCATTAGTTATGAGGAGCGCTCTTTTTGGTTTCTTCTTTATACTAGTCTCACCATATAGAACTTAAAACAAATCGATGCCCTTTTAAATAAATGTTACAAAACTGAGTTCCCCAAATTCATGTTTGTTGAAGACTTAACTTCTAATACCTCAGAACAGGACTGTATTTGGAGCCGGGGGCTTTAAGAGATAATTAAGTGAAAATAAGGCATTAGGATGGGCCCTAATCCAGTCGAACTGGTATCCTTACAAAAAGGAGACATTTGGACACAGAAAGACACCAGGGGTGGGTGCAAACAGGAGAGACCATGTGGGGACACGAGAAGGCAGCCAGCAGGGAAGAGAGGCCTCCAAGAAACCAAACCCGCTGACACTTTGACCTCACACTTTTTTTTGAGAGAGAGATTTTTGCTATTGGGCATGTACAGTCACCAGAGAAACAGAAAGCAAGAAATTACCCCCTGGGGGACTGGTCATACTGTAGTCTCTTCTCCTTCATTCTCCTCTGAGGACATCGGGCATGCATGCACCCATGCCTGGTGTTTCAAGCCAGGAACCATGATCAGCCATGTAGAAGTCCAGCACCTTAACCACTATACCACCTGTTGACCCCTACTGACCTCACACTTCTAACCTCTAGAACTGTTAGAAGACCAACTCCTGTTCAGTCTCGGTTGTGTCCTGTTACAGCATCCCTAGCAAACCAATACAATAGATAGATACACACATAGATGTAATTTGACCAACACAACATGGAGACAGACACACACACACAAGTCTTCATGGGTCAAAAGCCTACTGTGTCTGCCGTGATGTGATGGCCTCATAAGATACATGAAGAAACCAGACAAGTTGGGTTTTGACCACATCAGGCTCACCTGCTGAGAGGCTCTGGCCAGGACTAACACAGGTCCTTCTGCCTCCTCACTCAAGACTTTCTGTTCATGCCATTTTTCTTTTACAGTATTTTAAACAAATATCCCCAAGAGTTCAAGATATTTTACTTATGGGAACCAGCAGTTAGCGTAATGGCTATGTCGCTGGACTCCCACGTAGTTGACCGCGGTTCGCGTACCGGACCCGGTAGCTTAAAACTCACGCTGGGCACGTGTGCGTGTGTGCCCAAGATCCCGAGAGGAGAATGGAGGAGAAGGGATTGCGGCATGACCATCCCCCCAGGGGGTGATTACTCGCTTTCTGTCTCTATGTCTCTCTCTTTCTGTCTGGCGAGCGCACGCTCCCTCTAGTGAAAACCTCTCCAAAAAAAAAAAAAGATATTTTACTTATTAGTGATTTTTTAAGAGCTTTATTAGTGATATTCAAAGTGCTTTCTTCCTGTACTAATAACTAATGAAAAATAGAGTGTCACAGTAATATTAATTCAATTTTTAAAAAAGAGATTTGGCACCAGGGTTAAAAAAAAAGACTTAAAAAAAAGTGATATGCTATATTTGCATGCCAACCTAATTTTTTTGTACTTTAATACTTGTGTTATCAGACTACAATGCAACTTTTTATAAGAGCGATTTTTGCTATAGGGTGTGTGCGCTCACCAGAGCGACAGAAAACAAGAAATCACCCCACGGGGATTCCAATCCCTTCTCCTCCAGTTTCCTCTTGGGATTTTGGGTATGCATACACATGCACCCAGCATGAGTTTGAAGCCAACGGGTCTGGGATTTGAACCACAGTCAACTATGTGGGAGTCCAGTGACATAGGCATTATGCCACCTACTGGTCACACAGTGCAACATATTAAAAGAAGTATGGTAATCTAAGGCTAACATTTATGAAATAGTATAGATTTCTATAAATTAATCCTCTATTAAAAATTAGAGCTTAAAGATCAAAGATATATAAAACTATAAGCTTTGCCTATAGACTCTCTAACCTATAAAACTATACTCTAACCTATAAATGCCATTAGGTGAGTTAAGATCCAGGCACATGCAAAAATCAAAACTTGAAAATAAATATTTAGTATGGTCAACTCAGGTTTTAACAATTCAGAGGAAGGTGGATCATATTTGTCTCCAGCTGTTAGGAGTTTTACCAAGGGCATGGGGTCTTAGCAAATTTGGGATTAGACACATAAAAGTTAAGAAGAAATTATTTATGTTCAGGTCTGTCTTAGTGCCGAGTATAAGGTTTTGGAAGGCGAGAACTGTGTCCCTAA